AGAGGATGGTGTGTGTGTGTATGTGAAATGTAGTTGTAAACAAACTATGACAGCTGAACATTTTGCTGGCTAAAATTTATAAAGGGCATTTTCATTAGGGTTGGATGTTTTTAAAGATTCTCTGTGTTGCTGGAATAACAGCAGTCTATTACAATACACCAGGAAAGGTAAACTTTTATGTTTTCAAAACTATTCTTTCTGAGATCAATGATTATGAAAATGTGCGTACACAGATTTTATAATAAAAGAGAACATCACTCTATTTAAGAGTTCAACCACTTGAATGGTCAGCTGAGCTGAATGATGTTTGAGAAACAATATATTCAACATAAAAATGCACCATCATTTGGCTCTTTTAAAAGCAAAAGCAAAAGTGTTTGACATTTTGTCTTGATCTAAGATGTCCATATTATTGGAATCAATCCATACTTTCTTGCTGTATCACACTGCAAAGTTTTGTGACAGCAAAAACAAGCAATAAACCTGCCACAGAATTATAGTAAAAGGGAACAGTAGTCCAGTTTCCCTGGCAAGTGGCATGTAACACATTAAGAATGAGATCAATGTGACTTTCCTTGCCCTTGGCAATATCAGTATTTTGCCAGATCTGATTGACTGTCATGTCATAGTTAAGTTTATTAGGTGTGCTAAATCAGCAACAAAAGGAGAACAATGTGTCCATAAAGACCTGGCTCTTAAACACAGATAGAGGAGTTAATTTCAGGGATTGCCAGTCGTATAAAATCTATATGATTGCCTACCAAATAATAAAGGAATGAGAGCCAGTTTAGTGTACTGGTTAAGGCATCAGGCTAGAAACTGGGAAATCGTAAGTTCTAGTCTGCCTTTGGCACAAAACTATCTGGGTGACCTTGGGCCAATTAATCTCTCAGCCCTAGGAAGGAGGCAGTGGCAAACCACTTTTGAAAAACCTTGCCAAGAAAAAATAACACTCAAAATTAACATTAATGCAGTATATTTTATAAAATAGTTGCAAGCTTTTACATTTCCAAAAACTTTGGGTTTTTTGCTCCTTTCCGTCTATTGTTACTCTAATTTTTAGCTCTCTTCTCTAATGTAAGTTCTTCACACAAAAAACTTTCAGTTAACTTTAACACAATTATTGATTCATTATAGGTTCTTTTTTTTTCTTTATTTCATTAAATACTGTATAACAAAGAATTGGAAAGATAGTCAAAGAAAGAGTTGGAATTTACTATCTATTACCTTATCTTGAAGATATTTTGTTGCTTCCAAACTTTATGTGATCAGGCAAATTTTATTTTTTATTCATTGATGCAAACATATTTATGCAGCCGGAATGAATTCTGAACTAACTGTAGATTCACATAATACTTAGCTTATGCATGAAGCATCTTGTTATTATTACATAAGGTGGAATTTACATCTTTTGTATTAATGTGATCACATAAACTGTAATCTAAAAACATATTTTGGGGTAGTTTATTTCATGCTTTCAAGGATGCTGAGATTAGGAATGAGTGTGTATGTATAAGAAACAAGAAATCTTTATTTCCATTGGTGAAAAGATCCTTTATTTGAGATTGAAAGCTTAAGTTGTCCTTCAAAAACACAGTCCTATTGATCACTTTAAATTGAATCTACCTCCATTACAATCATACTGGCTTTTTGTTTGCACAAGTGTGCTTAACATAGCTAGATAATACATTTCTCACTTTTAAGAATTTAAATAGTGTGTTATACTAGCCTAGATTTCTACATTTTGCCTTCCATATTTCCATTGGCTTTTTTAGAAAATAGATATCACATATATTTAGTGGCATTTTCTCAGAAAATTAAATGTAAGGTAACAATGTTCTATCAGATTTCTGCTTATGTAACGGTTAAAATGTTCAAAAATTAAATGTAAAATTCAAATTAAAAACTTAAAGGCCACTTTCATCAAAATGTCTAAGCTTTACCAATCATAGTATTGCTTTATCTCTCTGTGCTGCTGATCTGGCAAAATAATTGATATTTGAATATCAATATCGGTATGACCTAAGCATAGCTCATAAAATCATCTGCTACAATGTCCTACCTTTCAATCACAACAATACATGAGCACACAATAGATACAAACTTAAAGTGAACCGCTCCAAACTTGATTGCAGAAAATATGACTTCAATAACAGAATTGTTAATGCCTGGAATGCACTACCAGACTCTGTGGTCTTATCCCAAAACCCCCAAAACTTTAACTTAAAACTGTCTACTGTTGACCTCACAGCGTACCATAAGTACGCTGACGACACCCAGCTGTACATCTCCACCCCAGACCACCCCAACGATGCCCTTGAAGTGATGTCCCGGTGCCTGGAGACCGTACGGATCTGGATGGAGAGAAACAGGCTCAGGCTCAATCCATCCAAGACCGAGTGGCTGTGGTTTCCGACGTCCCGATATAGTCAGCTGGTGCCATCGCTGACTATTGGGGGCGAATCATTGGCCCCCACGGAAAGGGCTCGCAACTTGGGTGTCCTCCTGGATTCACGGCTGTCTTTAGAAGAGCACTTGACGGCCGTGGCCAGGAGGATTTTTTTATCAGGTTCGCCTGATCCGCCAGTTGCGTCCCTTTCTAGATCGGGACTCCTTACGCATGGTCACTCACACCCTCGTCACCTCCCTTCTGGACTATTGTAACGCTCTCTACATGGGGCTCCCCTTAAGGAGCACTCGGAGGCTCCAACTGTTGCAGAGTGCGGCCGCACGGGTGGTGATGGGAGTGACGTGGCGCTCCCATGTAACACCTCTCCTGCGCGAGCTGCACTGGCTCCCGGTGGTCTTCCGAGTGCGCTTCAAGGTTTTGGTTATCACCTTTAGAGCGCTCCATGGCTTAGAACCTGGCTAATTACGGGACCGCCTGCTACCACCAATAGCCTCCCACCGACCAGTACACTCCCATAGAGAGGGACTCCTCCGGGTGCCGTCGGCCAAACAATGTCGACTGGCGGCCCCCGGGGGAGAGCCTTCTCTGTGGGGGCACCTACTATCTGGAACGAGCTCCCTCCGGAGATACGGAGGATCCCGGATCTGCGTACCTTCCGTCGCGCGCTCAAGACTTTCTTGTTTCATCAGGCTGGCCTGACCTAAGTCTTCCCCTTTTTAAATGGAAATTTTAAATTTGGTTTTAAAGTATTGAGGTTTTAAATTTGTTCAGCCAAATTATTTAATTCGTTTTATTCTATTTTAAATTTTGTATTTATATTGTTTTATTTTATGGCTGTTCACCGCCCTGAGACCTTCGGGAGTAGGACGGTATACAAATTCAATAAAAACAAAAAACAAAACCTCATTCCTAAGAGGTCTGTAAGGGGTGTGCATAAGAGCACCAGCGTGCCTACCATCCCTGTCCTAATGTTCCCTTTAATTGTACTCATTTTATGTATTCAATTCATGCTTATACTTATATATATTATCTAACATGTATTCGACTAAATAAAATAAATAAATCAATAACTGATTACTCTGTGAGTTTTTAAAGATTGATCAAATATCCAGAAACTGGGCGATGAATAAAAGTAGACCTCCAAGAAAAAAAAATTGTTAGATGGTGCATGTGTCACAACAAAGCCATGCATTGGCAAACATCTTAAGAGCTGTCCTTCCCTATTGAAAAATTGCCTTTTGTGTTTGAAGAAGTGTTCTAAAACAATTATCTTAATTGGGAGTTATCAAAATAAATTCATATATTATAATTAATCTTTCATGTAATGTAATTATAATGTAAAATGAACACATTTATAATGTATAAAAACTGGAATTTGAAAGTGCAGTTCAATTCTTAAGATTCTAGCTATCCTTCTCTTTTAATCCCAGCAGTAAACCCAAGTTCCTTTTGTTGATAGTATCATAAAAACACATTGCCAAAGTATATTTCTGAATAAGACTGTTCATTTGGAATATTTTTTGTTAGGGACCTCTGAGAAAAAGTATTGATAGGTTACTAGCATTCATATTGACAGTACTAAAAAACTTTCTTATATGGATGGTCAAAGCTTTGAAACTTTTCACCCCAAGGAGTCTACATAGCTATAAAGAAGGGATACCTCAATTTTTTATTTCTTTAAAATAAAACAAACTTCTGGGTTGAATGTAAAGAGATGAAAATATTTATATTGTTTCTGGTAGTAGGTTAACAAGATTCACTTCTTGTGTAAGAAACAAAAATGAGAAATGGTATTAGTTTCTTTGCCTTGAATTAATTCCTTGGCTTTCTGTAATTCTAAACAGAATGACCATTACTTTTATTTTATTTATCATATTTGTATAGCTGCCCACGTCACATGACTCTTAAGTCTTGATTTAATGGATCTTGATCTAACAAACTTCAGATATAATGGACAAATGTTTTATGTGACCTTCATCCCTATATCTGCCCTTTGGTAATTCCTCTCAGCCAAGGCTTCTGGTAGCCATCTGTTTATGATGTTACTTTCCCCACGTCCTTTTGCAATTATATCTGTATTTTGGTCTTTGACCGCAAATAAAAGTTATAATATTATTATATCTGCCCTTTAAATTGTGACTTCCCTGCAAATGATGCTGTTTAAGTCAATTGCATAATAATAAAAATGAAGAACAAATGACATAAATTTTAACAGATGTTCAAATTTAAGAGACACCCCTTCTCCTGAATATTCTGTTAAATTGAAATTTTGCTGTGCCATATTTAGCTGAGTGGTTAAGAATAAGTGTGATCTTAGATTTGAAATACCTGTTTTTTCCATGTTTTGTACATTAAAGATAAAATTAAGTACTGGTAGTTTATTTCTGTGAACAAAACTAATTTTTAACACCAGTGTAAATGGATATATAATCCTTCTTCCATGCCTGTACTTTCTCCATATCCTCAAAATTTCCCAATCTGCTGAAACAGGAAAATGCACAATTTGAATGCAAAGGGAGCTTCCCTCATATGTATTCCATTATTTTATTGCAGGATAACTGAAGATAAATAATCTTTTTCTTGGTTCCAGCTTTTCCTTATTGTAACATGGAATTTTGAGCTGTACATGCTTCCACTGGTCTTGTTGCTGATGTTGGTGTGGAATTACCTCTTGGTCATATCAGGAAAGGATAATCGGCCACATGATACTGTAAGTCTTTTTAAGCATATATGTATTTGTTAACAAAAAAATCTTGGGAGTGGAACTTTTTTCAAGGTCTTATTTCAGTGTCTGAAGGTATAAAGGTTTAGATGGGCAGGCTTAAGTTCAACACTAACAAGACTCTGGTTTAAAGATCAAGTAGCAGCCAGGAGGGCTTTTGAGCAGATTCATCTGGTGCATCAATTACAAATGTTGCTGGACCAGGAGATCCTTCTTATGACCATTCATGCCTTGATTATCTCATGTGTGAATTACTGCAAAGCATTACCCTATATGGGGCTGATCTTGAATGCCATTTGGAAGTTTCACTATGCAGAATGTGGTAGTATGTTCAGTTATAGAAATTCTATTAACCTATAAAGCTCTATACGTTGTAAAGCTTAGATATTTGAAGAAGTCTTTCCATTGTTTCTAGCTATCCTGTAAGCTTTGACAGAGTCGTCTGCTCTGGGCTTCATTCATTAAACAATGTCATCTGATGGGATGCAAGAAACATGCCTTCTCTATTGTGTGCCTACCCTCTGGAACAGTATCCCTTCAGAGTATTACTGCTGTCCTGCTTTCCTTTGAGGTTATGGCCACCTTTTTGTGAGGATTTTTGTCTGTTCCACCAGGATAACCATCTTCCTTTTTTGTTGCTTAGTATTGTTCTTTTGCTTTGGCTTGCATTTAGTATGTAATCAAGAAGTAGGATATTTAGATACATGATTTATAATATAAATCAACATTTGGAGGATGCCTTTTCAGATATATTTTAGGAGAAGACCTTTGGGGCTCATGCAGTTCTGTTTCATGTAAACATGGCAGAAGATGTCCAACAGGGAGAGTCTAAGGATTTGAATGTGGAAATAACATTCAGAAATAACCAGAAAGATTTTTTAAGATTCCCAAGAAACTCCCAAAATATTTTATACTGATATGATGAACAAGATGTGTTACAGATATATACCCTTAGCACTACTTAGAAAGAAACAAAAGTAGTACTGTACGTGAGGAAGATGGTATTGAATCTGGCAATCTCACTTTATGACTTCAGTGACATTAAGAGTAGAACTTAGATTGAATTTCTTCTTTCTTACAAACAGAAGGAACTAAAGATGATGGCTTCACATTGTGAAATCATAATTTATGAGTTATATTGCATTTTATCATTTTCTGGAGGAGGAACACTGTTTTTCTTCGTGATTATCCCACATGATTGCATTGTCTGCTTGTTTTTGCAGTATGGTTGCTTGGTCCATATACAGAAACTATGAATATATGATGCAGCAAAATATTTTGTTATTAGCCTGCTTGTCGCAGACAATGATGCTGATTAGGGTTGAGAGGGAATGACTAGCCCAAGGTTACCAAACTGTCTTTCATGCATAAGGAAGAACTGCAACCTGCAACATAAATGAGAGATTCCAAACAATATAATAGCAGAGAAAGTGCTGTGATGATCTTACAAGATATGCACAATACTTATCCTTCTGCCTGAAAGAACTCAAACTGCTACAAGTGCAAGGTTTTAGTACAGAGTTTCTACATTACAGCCTACCAGGGAAAGTGAGAAGTCCTGGATAGAACAGGCAAAATTCTTCAGAGAGACAGAAAAGGAAAGTGAATCCCAGAGAATGCAAAGCAGAAGAGAATTGAAAGCATGTGATCTGAAAAGAAAGAGGATTATGAGATACACAGTATTGATGGAGCTCAATAATTGCTATTGTACTCTCTCCCTCTAGTAGATAACCCACAGCTATCTGGGCAACCTTTGCCAACCATAACTTCACAGAACACAGTGAAAGACTCACAGATCTCCATGATTCAAAGAAACACAATAACTAATTGGTGGAAGAGCAGACATTTCATGATGGTTGGTAATTACCTGATGATGGATAATTCCCTGCTGAAAGGAACTAAGGCTTCAGAATCCTGAAAAGTGAATAGGATGGTCTGTCAAGGTGGTGCTCCTGAAAGGTTTATGTTTTTTGATCATAGGCTATACAGCAACACAAAGACATATTGGCAAAAGGGAAGCTACAAAGACTGGGAAGGGCATTTTTGGCACCTCACTAATTTCATCAGGGGCACATTAAACCAGAATGAAAGAACTTTTACAAAAGTCAAGAACTGAATACACTTCCAAGGACCGGGGCCAACAATGCAAGAAACAAAAGGAGAAGCAGATAGGCAGAGAGGGATCATTGGCAAGAAACTATAGCAATCAAGCCAGGAGGGGTACCACCAGTATTTCAGATGTTTCTACAGCAATGAACACAATGTATGGCAAATATAGAGAATTTGAATTCTTAACAAAGGAGGATATATATATTGTGATAAGCATCACAGAAATTTGGTGAAATGACACAGATGACATTTATTCAAAAAGAACAGATCTGGCAGAGAAGAGGTGTTGTAGTTAGACAAAAAAGCACATGCTTGCATAGAATGAATAAGTTAGAACCTGAAAATCTTGTTAAGAAAGTTTGATAAGGTAACTGGAATGTTGGGAGGAGATGACTACATTATCCTTGAATTCACAATATCAAGGGGAGGGGAAATTGACAGTCAGACTCGTGAATTGGATTTCGAAAGAGCAGATTGTAATGAATCCAGAGCCAATGACACAAAATACTACAGCAATACAGAGTAAGATGAGGATATAAAATTATTTGAAAGAAGATTCTGAAGGTGCCTTAAGAAACAATATCAAATAAAAATGGTGGTTGTATGAAGAAAGCAGTATGGAATCCCACAGTTTGCTAAAATGCTGAAAAACAAACAAAAAATGGTAGTAGGGGAACATAACCAAATAAGAATATAACGCAGTTATCAGAAACTATAGGGTCTGTGTCAGTAAAATGTAAAGGCTAGAATATGCAGAGGCTTGGAGAAATATCCCAAATAATAAAAAGGGCTTTTCTGGGTATACAACAGAAACAAAAAAAGAGGAAAAGAGTCTGTAAATCTGTTACAGAGAGGAAGGGGGAAATGGACGATATCAAGAAAGCAAAATATTTTAAATTGTGTTTTACATTTGTCTTCTCTCAGAAGAGAAGCAAAGCTCTAGGAGGCAGTCATTGGATGGTACAACCTAGGATACATAAGAGGAAAGTAAATGAACACTTAGGAGAACTTGCACTATGTAAGGGCTTGTTAACCTCCATGTCTGTGATTCTGTATAATCAATGGCCTAGTCAATTTCCTGTCTGATTATGACAGGTACACCCAGTTTGATTTCATTTACTCTTTACGCATACATTGTGCCATAGTATAGAATATTTTGAAGTCCCTATTCATGCACTGTATCGCAATACTACATGTCAAATAGGTTGCTTGATTTACCACACACCAGAAATTGTGTTCCCTTAGAACAGTGGAAAAAACCCTCTGATTCTCCAGAAATCAGACTGAAAATCATATCATCCCCACCCAGGATGTATTAGGGATGGTGGTAGGATTGATAGTTAAAGAGATGTCATAGATTCCACTTCTAGCCATAGAGGAAGAGCTTATCTGACTCCTGATGTTTTGTTCATGATTGGGAGATCAAATATGACCTTCACATTATGCCACTGGAAAAACACAAGATGCCCCACATAGCTGTACAGTTGCAAAACATTTGAGCTAATCATAAAGAGTTTTATTCACTAGCCTTTATGACAACCAGACAACCTCTTTCTGTCATTATGAACTCAAATACCAAGGTACCAGATATTCTTATGTTAAATTTATAGTGGTAACAAAATAAATAACATCTTTTCAAAGCTTTATATGAGAAATATATTCAACCGATTAAATCAAAATTTCTACTGAAGTATTTAAATATCAGGTTAGGATTTCACTTAGTAAATTTAGTAAACATCTAAAATGTGCTTATTTTAGCATTTATTTTTAATCTAAAGGTTAAATAAATCTGAATTTTGAGGGTTATTTCTGCAAAAATTGTAGAACTCTTAAAACAAAGTTTAAGTATTTAATGATCTATATAAGGCTTCACTTAATTGCAATAGAATCTAGGCTGATTAAAAAGAGCAGATAGATAGATAGATAGATAGATAGATAGATAGATAGATAGATGGATGGATGGATGGATGGATGGATGGATGGATGGATGGATAGATAGATAGATATTATTTTTATTAAATATAATAATGTGTTTTTTTGTGTCCTTGCTTACCAGCTACTCAATCAGTGACCATTCAAGTTACAATGGTGCTGAAAAATTACTTTATGGCCAATTTCTGACCATATCCAAGATGACTTCATCAGTCATGTGATTGCATTATAATCAATATGCATTGACCTATGCCTGACATGTGTTCTTTTTGTTCCCCCCCTCCCCCAAAATCACTCCCCCTTCCCAGAGCATGTAGATTGGAAAGGGATTTCAAGAGAGCAAGCTGTTTGCTCTACCTGACATAGAAAGCAATGTAATCACACTGGCAGCAGGGAAAGGATCAGGCAAAGAAGAGATTGCTTACAGAAATTGCTTTTTTCCCCTTTCCCATCCTCCCAGAACAGAGAGATTGGAGAGGAAGATATTTCAAGAAAGTGCTGTAAGCTGTTTGTGTAGCACACCTACAGATCCCATCAGTGCAATCATACTGCTTTTGATGTGCACAAGAGCAAAAGCTTACTCTTTTGCAATCCCCCTCCAATATCTCAGCTTTGTGCATGGAGGGGGAAGGAGTCTGGCAAAGGAGAGATTGCCTACAGAATTCACTTGCTTTTTCCCCTCTCCTCCCCCCTTCTGCAGAGCAGAGAGTTTGTGGAGGGGATTTCAAGAGAGTACTGTAAGCTGCTTGAGTAGCGCACTTGTAGCTTCCAGTCCCCGGCTGTTGGTGCAATTAGATTGCTTTCAATGTGTATAGGTCAGTAAGCATGCGCTTGAACATTACAAAGATTAGAGCAGCTAAGAGGCAAACAAAAGCTGAAGGTGTGAAGTCTTATCTCTTTTCAGCAGGAGTGCATAGTGAAAATGACCATATAAACTAATTAGTGTTATTGTCAGTGAGCGTACAAAATGTGAGAATATTCAGTTTGACTTAAACTACCTTCTCATGACCTAAAATCATTTGAGAACTTTTATATATTCTGTTTAAACTGTGCACATTTAATCATTTTATTTCATAATTATGTACAAGCATTGTAAATAAACTGATACAGCAAACACATATTGAAGGTTGTTGAGAGCGTGGTGGCATGACAACTTCCCCAGCACCTGGATGAAGCTATCTATCTAGACCCGTACCAGTCGGGCTTCAGGCAGGGGTACAGCACAGAAACGGCATTGGTCGCGTTGGTGGATGATCTCTGGAGGCTCGGGACAGGGGTTGCTCCTCTGTCCTAGTCCTATTAGATCTCTCAGTGGCTTTTGATACCATCAACCATGGTATCATGCTGCAGCGGTTGAGGGGGTTAGGAATAGGGAGCACCGTTTTGCGGTGGTTCTCCTCCTTCCTCTCCGACCGCTCGCAGCTCGTGTTGGCAGGGGGACGGAGGTCGACCTCGAGGCGTCTCGCATGGGGAGTGCCGCAAGGGTCGGTCCTCTCGCCCCTCCTGTTCAACATTTATGTGAAGCCGCTGGGTGAGATCATCCGTGGTTTTGGGGTGAAGTGTCATCTCTATGCTGATGATACTCAGCTGTACATCTCCACCCCAGACCACCCCAACGATGCCCTTGATGTGATGTCTCACTGCCTGGAGGCCGTGCGGGTCTGGATGGGGAGGAACAGGCTCAGACTCAACCCCTCCAAGACCGAGTGGCTGTGGCTTCCAGCGCCCCGATATAGTCAGCAGGTGCCATCGCTGACTATTGGGGGTGAATCTTTGCCCCCCACGGAGAGGGCTCGCAATCTGGGTGTCCTCCTGGACGCACGGCTGTCTTTAGAAGAGCATATGACGGCCGTGGCCAGGGGGGCCTTTTATCAGGTTCGCCTGATCCGCCAGTTGCAGCCCTTTCTGGACCGGGACGCCCTGCGCACAGTCACTCATGCTCTTGTTACTTCCCGATTGGACTATTGTAATGCTCTCTACATGGGGCTCCCCTTGAAGAGCACTCGGAGGCTCCAACTGGTCCAGAATGCGGCCGCGCGGGTGGTTATGGGCGCTGATAAATAAATAAAGGGAGACTAGTATAGATCTATTTCAAGCTTTTAATCTTTCTCCTGGCTCAAGCTGATGAAGGGAGGAGAACTTGTGGCTCAGAAAGTTAATTCAATTGCCTAACATGCAGGAAGCCGAAGTTCGAATCCGAGTAAGGGTATGGCTAGCTGATGAAAGCTAAAAAGCTTGAAATAGATCTATACTAGTCTCCCTTTATTTCTTTATCAGCAAAATATAAATTTGGTATAAAATGGTTTGTCATGAATGCGACTGCTTGAGGGCTCCTGGATTGGAGCTGAAAGGCGAAGGGGAGCAGAATACCCCCTCCCACATGTTGAGGTAGACCAGATGTCTCGATAGAAAAACACTATATATCTATACACACACACACACACACACACACACACACACACACACACTATATGGAGTCAACTTTCACAGGCTCCTAATTGTCATCTGTATTCATATATTAAACATGGATCTACCCCTGAAATCAGGTCGTTAAGTAGCTTCCCCTCTTATGTGGCATATACAGTGGTGACAAGTGACATTACAGAAGGTCATGTCACTTTTAACTGCTTGCATTAGAGCTTTCTGATTTCCCTGGTGCTTTCCTTTGTTTGATTAATACTATTAGGTTGTGAAATGCAGACAGCAATTTTTTTTATGGAAGAAATCTAGCCATTTTATGAAATTTTATCCTGTTATATATTTATATGAATTATTCAAATGTTATGTTACATGATAGATCCAAAAGACTAAGAATGGGCAACAAAAATCGGAAAACAGATCTAAACAGACCAAGGAACTATGGAATAAAATAGACACAACATGCAAATACTGTGATCTAAAACTTCCACATGATTGTTTTCTATAGCACACACATTATTTGAACAGAAAGTAGAACCAAAGATAACAGAAGGGGCGATTGGTTTCTCACATAATAGCATAGGTTTTACGTTACTGTTTGTAATAGACTGCTTCCTAACTTAAGCCCTGGGATTCATGAAGCATTTCCAGATTCTGCTTTAATATTTATAGTAAAACATAAACATTTCATTCCTGCTCCAGCATTATCATCATTAGGAGCTACATTAAAATCCATACCTATAGTAAACCTATGGAGCCTTTTGAATTTCCAAGGGAAGTATAGTGGAATATTGGAAAAAATATTGCTAGAATGAAAATGTAATTTTTAAATTAATTTATTAATTAATTTATCAAGTCATGTTTTTAACACAATGTATTAGATTGCCATGTATTCATGCACATGAAAAGCTAATATATCAGGATTTATTTTGTACCCACTTGTTTTGGGAATACAATCATGTGAGTAGCTCATGTATCTGCAATGCATTCTCAGAGTACCTTAAAATCAACCTACATTTCCCCCTTTTTGCCCTTGCCATCTACAACCAAAATACACTCAGTAGAGGTAGTTCTTCACTGCCTCATTTAGTGAACAATCAAAATTACGATGGTGATAAAAAAAAATCTTTACACCCAATCCTTGCATCCGGGTCCGCAAAACAAAGCTGAAGTAAGTAAATACAGTTGTGGTTTCAGTTAGTGACCACTTCACTTAATGACCAGGTTGCCAGTCCCAACTGCGGTTGTTAAATGACGACTAACTAATTTTTTTCCATAGCTGGGGTAAAGAATGTTGACCCATTAAACCGTGTGGCTTCATATCCTCAGCTGCATTCCATTGCTTTCCCTGAGCCTAGGCCCCTTGAAAAGGGAAACGGGGAGATGCAAGCAAGGCAGGCTATCCCCAATGAAAAGCCAGCATCTACAAGTGCAAGATGGACCTGAATTTGTTGTGCATACAATGAAAATTGCAATACTTTACCAGCAATCTTGTCATTTTACACACACACACACACACACACCATTTAAAATCCTAAATTGCATAACAGAAGAAAATGTATTACATGCAACAACATTTAAGGATCCATAAACCTCAAAATTATTAGGCATAACTTTAAAAAAGTGTAAAAGCAGGGATGGTGGAAATAAAAAGAACAACTCCAAGCATTTCAATAATATTTCTTAAGTCCCTTTTTCCTTGCTGTGTTGTTGGAAAAATATATTCAAATTTTAACAAACAAATATCAGCACACTCTTGCTGCAAATCAAATATTGTAGTAGATTTTTCCTTCCAGGGTTGTTCAGCAATCCTTTTAGCCAATCTCCATGGTCCACAAATCCACAGTTCCTGATATTTTAATAATAGGATATAGCCAAGAAAATATATGTCGTCTTAACATAAAACAGATAATGGGATTCAGAGCTGTATGAATAACTTGGTTGAAGTCAGCTCAGAACAAGACTTCAATAGGACAAAGTTATTATATGGGTTAACACTCTCTCATTCTTGAGTTATGTCTCTATCACCAGAGTGATTTTAACTAACCCTCACTGAAAATTCTCTAGACAGTCAATATACCTAAAACAAATGTATTCAATTAATCTTTATTCAAGAAAATGGGGAAATCATTTCATTTATTCTGAAGACAAAGTTAAGTTTTTTATATCAATGTCATCAGTTTCCATCAGCTTCCCCTAAAGGTTTATTGGCTTTAAAGACTGTAGAACTTCAGAAGTTGCAATTGCATCTGGTTGAAATAAATCCAGTAACAAATGTTCAGGTTTGCTCTGAATATAAACTGATAAAATATGCATAGGTGTTAATAGGGAAGGAAAGCAGCAGCAAACAACAAAACGTTATGACATAATCCTATGATTCGTGTATTTGTATCCTGTGCAAATACAAAAGGCTGAGGTTTTGAAACATGAGCTCACAAATTGTTTCACATTAATTGTATTCCTGCAAAATTAAGAAGAAAGAAGAATTCAGAAGAAAGGAACTTCTAAACTTCTTGTCCTGCTTACCTCTTTTTGTACAGCCAGGTTGAGGAGTTTAGAAGCTCTCCAATTCTTCTCTGCTTTTGATTAATCACAGATTGTAAGTACCTAGTAGGAATTGTGTTTAATTTGAACAAAGATTAAATTATTTTGAGTAATTACAGTTAAAATTTGACATTCTTTGACCTAACCAGTTGGTAGCAACCAGAGGACATAGGAGGATTAAAAATGGAGCTCTCTACTTTTGTATATGCTTGGTAATACGTTAAAGTATATTAAAGCTTTGTTTCTAAATCAACCAAATGCTGTACATTTTTTTACACATTAAAAAAAACTTTAAACTGCAAAAAGGTTAAAGAAACAAATATTTCCTTTTTAAGCTTTTGATGATTGCTACTCTTTATGCCTGCAGGTAGTGGAGGACATGCTAGAGGACGAGGAAGAAGAGGATGACAGAGATGACAAGGTAATTATCTTTCCTGGCACCTGGTATCTAGGGATGGGAGAAAGTAGACACAACACTGCTCTTACAGACAGTTAAAAAGGAACAAGAGTGTTTTGTAGTGCAGAGCTGTTTATCATCTTAACAATGCCATGGTGTGTGTGCGTGTTATAAAAGGTATAGACATCTATAAACCTTTCCTTCCCTTTCCCTCCCTTCCTCCCCCACCACATCATGTTTTTGTCCAGAGCTGGACCATTTTTTTTTTTACCTTTCTTTCAAGAACAAATATATTTCAGCTTGTCTGGAACTTGATAGCTGTTGTGAAGAAAAGTGCAGTGACAATTGTTTTTGAAGGACAAAAATTTGTCCTCTCTGGAGTATTTCAAATAGGGCTGTACTTCCAGGTGGGAGGAGTGTTGTAAAAATAGAAACACCATACTGTTTGAAGGTGGTCTATTGCCATCTGTAATTTTCTGAGAATTACTTGGTAGAAGGGTGTTTGGATGTGTGTTGCACTCTGTAAGATATTTAAATAATCACAATTCTCATCTGCCTCTTATCGATAGATTCGGGATTGGCATTGTGTGGCCCAGCATCAGTCTAAGGGACTGGTTGCTCTTTCAGCTGTTGAGAATGTTGCTCAGTTGCTAGGTTGCTGTTTGGGCTGAGAATTTCCACCACAGTAAATAACAGCTAGTTAATACTGGTTATTGAAGCAAGCAATAGGACTGCAAGGCTGTCCCTGGAGAAGAAGGAAGAGGCATAGAGAGGAAATTAGAATGACCTTGTAAGAAAGAGACCGTGATGTTAGTTGGCAGGGCTGGCTTATGGGAAAGAAAAGTGCAGCAAGATAAATGTCTTTTAAGAACTTTTAAAATGAAGATACTGAGGGAGTGAAATATTCAGATTATTCTAACGTGTTCCATTTAAATGCAGAAAATGCTGACCTTCATAAATGTTCACGTACTCTTTTAATAAACCATCAACGGTTTTTTGAAGAGCAGTGGAAAAAAACCCTCTATCTTAATATATGCCTTTGACCTTTGTTGCTAGTAGAGACATACAGTTCTATATCACTACAGGAATTTTAGGCTGGCAGCCAGAAAACATTTGACATGTAGGAAAATTTACTGTGATTAGTTTACTCTGAACAATTAAGGTACGTGTTTTGAAAGATGAACCTCTGAATATCTTTATTATTTCACATTTAGCAAATACATGATGATAGTTTTTTCTCTATGTATTTTAATGATTTTGATAACAGCTGCAATCATGAAATAATGTCACACCTAAATTTCTTCCATGCAAAGCCATATGTGCTGTTTTCATTACAAAATGCTTAGCAGTACAACACATGATTTATCATGAAGGTCAACCCTATAGCATAGTGAGCTTTAACACAAAAACATTTTTCCTCTGATAAATGTGGGTCTGCTATCAATTTGGGAGGGATTTTTTTTTAGCATTTAGGCATATTTCATTATCAATTTTTTGTATTTTTAGAAACGTTTATAACTAAAATCTCTTTAAATTAGACAACCTACCTATTCTTCTCTCTGATTAGTATTTATGTGTGCATGTATCTGTATATAAGTGTGTGTGTATGTCTGTGTGTATTCTTAATTTACTTTTGCTTAAGAAAATCCTGATAGTATTTAAAGGACTTGCCTTATTCGATTACTAAATAATAAATCAACATATTTCACTGTCTGTATAAAAAAATGAAGACAGTAATAATAATTTAAATAAAAACTGTCTAGAACTATATCAATACTTAATATTGGCCATCTGAATCACTTTGTAAAACACTTTTAAATTGAACTATTTATGCCAAATAAATCTGGGTGATTAAGTATCTACATTAAATAGTATATTTTTAACATAGAAACTAAATGTTCATGAATAATTTCTATGTAAAATGAGTATACGTCCATAGATATGTAGCACAATATTTAATGGAAAGATTTATAAAGAATTGTTGGGCAATGGGTTGTTTTTCAAAGCAAATTAACAATATTTTTCTCAATTGAGTGTTTTCGCATAGTGTAAATTAGATTAAATCATAAGTGATTTAACTACTTCCATTTTAAATGAATATATAATTTGAGTTTTGAGAGAAAACAAATGTAAATTCTGCTGTGGTTACTGATGTTGACCTCTAACTCTCAGTATTGTTCTGTTTTCTCATTTGGTAAAATAGTAAAGTGAGGTCAGTGGGTCCTCTTATAGAATAAACATAAAAAAATTAATAAATGTGCCAAAGCCTCACTTTAATTGAAACTGAAGCATATATTGCAAGGATATAAAATATATCCCAGATGTCTAGCCACACAGAGTAACTTAGTTTTCCCCGATTACCACAAGGCAACTATTAATTCAGTAACCTTTTGACTTGGGGGTAAATGGGGCATTATAAGGCTGGGAACTACAGCACCTGTTTTCTATTTAATAAAGACCTCTGCACACTTTCCCTTAGCTGCTTCATGTGTTTTTGCTTAGCATATTGTTAGGTGATTATGATAAGGTTCTTTCCTCAGAACTGGTCTGGAGATTAGACACTTAAGCAAAATGAGTGGGTAAGTTATTTGCTACTCAACCAAATCTGTATAGGCATCCAGAGAAGTATTTTTTTAAACTGGACTAGGATTCTGGGTTTTGAGAGTTCTGACTAAGTTACAGGATCCTAACCATAATCAACCCCAATGTCTGTTACAAGTCTTGTTTTGTATAAGCAGTTCCACTGAATTTATGCAGAGTGGTTCTGATTAAAAAATCTTTCTTATTCAGATATGATTTCAGTAATAGATACAGTACATTATTCAGACTTGCTGTTCAGTTAATATAGTCATATTTTATGTGAATATTATTTCTGAATATAAGAAATGTTCATTTTCAGATAAGATAATAGCTATCTTTTAAAACATATACAACTTGTTGCTGACATACAGTAATGAAAGTATGTATTGCATTATGGGAAAAACAGATTGTTGGTTCAGTTCAGAACAACATACAAAATTCACCATTACTTGCAAGATTGCACAATTTAATTACAGAAAAAAGATGATAATATTCTGTATCTACCTTCTATTATTAAAATTAAACCATGTTTGTAGATGAATGCATCTTCAAACAGCTGCTTAAATGTTATCTTATAACACTGGCAATTACATGAAATTAAGCCACTCTCTGAGAAGCTTCTTCCAATGGAACATTTAGGAGATTATATAATATATTCCTCACCCAAATATAACATATTCCTTTCAGTAGGTACAATGTAAATATATTGCATTTCTCTATTAAACAAAACTGCCTTCGCAGTGTCTGCTGTATTGAAGTGTTCCCTGATGATTTGGATGACCCAATGTTGGTGGCATTTCATAGGGCTTCAAAGATCTGGATATTCCCTCAGGAAATTTAAACCAACCCTAACTACTTCATTGACTTCACTGACTAAAATAGAACAAATTTTAGATACCAGGCATATTATTTTGGACATTTATTGATCATGAAACATTTTTTGTTTCAACCTCTTGTGCACTGCCTAGTCATTGTTATGACATAGCAGTTATATAAATATGTATATGTATAATTAATATTATTAATGTGATTTATTAATAATGTATCATATACATTAGCACTTATGGTGAATTCTTTATCTGAGAATGAGTTCTACTAAGGGATATATTAATTACGTTTCTGAAAAGCCTTTATTTCCTGCCTTCATTTGCCTTTCTCCAAATAACCCTCCAATGACTGAAAAAAGTGCTTGAATCATATTAATCCATGGAAGCAAGAAAGGATGGTTAACAGAACTCATAACTGGATAATCAAAATCACTTTGTTAGCACAAATTAAGTTAACACAAATGTATATTCAAGCTTTTGAGTTCCTCAGAATTGTTCATCATATCTTTTAACATACAGCCATGTTCAATTTCAGTTGTATTTCTCCTTCCCATTTTTTTTTTTTGTAATATCTTGTCTGATAAAGAATTCTAGAGAACTGAAATGTTTATGCATTGTTTTCTGATATTTGATGTAGTCTTTCTGGTCAGTCTGTAGTTTGACCAGGGATGAAACCAGGGATGAAATCCAGCAGGTTCTGACAGGTTCTGGAGAACCAGTAGCAGAAATTTTGAGTAGTTTGGAGAACTGGCAAACACCGTCTCTGGCTGGCCCCAGAGTGGGGTGGGAATGGAGATTTTCCAATATCCTTCCCCCAGGAGTGGGGAGGGAACGGGGATTTTGCTGTATCCTTCTCCGCCACGCCCACCAAGCCACGCCCACAGAACCGGTAGTAAAAAAATTTGGATTTCACCACTGGATAGAACCAAGATCATGTAAAGTGTTAGCATCACTTTATAATGCCTTGGTAAGCCCACACTTGTAATATTGCACCACGTGGTTTGATTACCACGTATAAAAAAGATGTTGAGATTCTAGAAAGAGTGCAGAGAAGAGCAACAAAGATGATTAGGGGACTGGAGGAGCCCTGGTATGTTTAGTTTAATGAAGAGAAGGACTGGGGTGACATGATAGCAGGCTTTCAATATATAACAGTCTGCCACAAAGAGGGGGGGGTCAATCTTTCTCCAAAGCACCTGAAGGCAGAACAAGAAACAATGAATGGAAACCAATCAAGAAGAGATCCTAGAACTAAGGAGAAAGTGACAATTAGAACAATTAATCAGTGGAATGGCTTGCCTTCAGAAGTTGTGGATGCTCCATTACTGGAGGTTTTTAAGCAGAGATTGGACAACCATTTGTCTGAAATGGTATAAGGCAGTGATGGCTAACCTTTTTGCCATCGCGTGCCAGGAGGGGGGGCGGGGGCGGGTCGCACGCGCATGTGCCCACACGCATGAGTGCGCAACCCCCTCTCCCCTCCCCCCCGCTCCTGGCACATGATGGCCTGGTAGGCCCGTTTTTCTTTCTTACCTGGTTCCAGATCCTCTCTGTGTATCTGGGAAGGGAGAAAACAGCCTTTCCCACTCCCTTGGAGGCCCTACGGAGGCTGAAAGGACCCATTTCCCAACTCTCGGTGGGACAGGAAGTGACATTTTTTGCTGTCCTCAGCCTCCAGAACCTCTCTAGGAGTCTCTAGGAGCCTCTCTAGGAGTCTCTAGGAGCCTCTCTAGGAACCTCTGGAGGCTGGAGACAAGAAAAAACGTCACTTCCTGTCCCACCAGGAGTCGGGAAATGGCCCCTTTCAGCCTCCGTAGGGCCTCCAAGGAAGTGGGAAAGGCTGTTTTCGCCCTTCCCAGATACACAGAGAGGATCTGGAACCAGGTAAGAAAGAAAAATGGGCCTTCCCCCCCCAGACCCTCCAGAGGCAGGAAACAGCCTGTTTCCCTACTTCTGGTGGGTCCAGAAGGCCCGAAAATCAGCTGGCCGGTGCGCACATGCGCCCCAGCGCTGAGCTGGCGTGCCCACTAATATGGCTCCGCATGCCACAGGTTCGCCATCATGGGTATAGGGTCTCCTGCTTGGGCAGGGGGTAGGACTAGAAGACCTCCAAGGTCTCTTCCAACTCTGTTATTGATTTTTCCATTCTTGGAGCCTGTTTATCA